GGGAGCCCGATGTGGGACTCGATCCCGGGACTCCAGGATCATGACCTGAGCTGAAGGCAGTTGCTTAACCAACTGAGCCACCCAGGCGCCCCTTTGGATTCATTTCTTTCATCAGTTGGGGAGAAAATTTGCAGTTTTCAAGTGTACAAATTATTGCTTCTCCTTCCTCTATTTTGTTCTTCTGAAATTCCTATTAGACAAATATTAAGATTTTCTCATTCTATCCTCTGTACTTCTCTTTTCTCTCATGTTTTTTTTATCTCAGCTCTCAACATGCATTCTAGGTAATTTACTCAAATTTATAACCCAGTTCTCATATACACACTCTTTCAGGTACATGTAACTGTTTACACCTATTTAATAACTTCTTTATTTCAATAAATGTAGTGTTTCCTTTTTGAAAATCTGTTTCATTCTGCCAGGTCATGCTGTACAACTTTTTGTTTTGTATTTATATCTTTGTGATTTTACCTTTTTAAAATAGTTATTCAGTATTTTATATCTTTTAATTCTAATATGTCAAGTCCTCGGGAGGTCTATTGTTTTGTTTTATTTTTTACTCTTCCCACACATAGTGATTTGTTTCCTTATACTAGTGATTCTTTTTAAAGATTTTATTTATTTATTTGAGAGAGAGAATGAGAGACAGAGAGCATGAGAGGGAAGAGGGTCAGAGGGAGAAGCAGACTCCCTGCAGGGAGCCCGATGCGGGACTCCATCCAGGGACTCCAGGATCATGACCTAAGCCGAAGGCAGTCACTTATCCAACTGAGCCACCCAGGCATCCCTGTACTAGAGATTTTTGTTCAAGCACATGTTTATTTGATTTTACTCCATGACAACTAATGATAAAATTAAAGGTGATTTCTTTCAGACAAGATTTACCTTTGCCTCTGTTATGAATCAGGGGGACCCTGTGGACCTGGAAGAATTAATTGGGAAGTCTAGCTTCTAAGCATTATTTAAAGTTCAATGTTTCATGGACATCTAGGTCGCTCAGTTGGTGAAGCGTCTGCCTTCGGCTCAGGTCATGATTCCAGGGTCTTGGGATGGAGCCCTGTATCAGGCTCCTTGCTCAGCAGGGCGCCTGCTTCTCCCTCTGCCTACCACTCCCCCTGCTGTGCTCTCTCTCTCTCTCTCTCTCTCTGACAAATAAATAAATAAAATCTTTTTTAAAACAAAGTTCATTGGTTCAGATTTAGCATTCCTTTGTTCATTGTTTGTCATCTGTTCTTTCCTAACATGCTGCACTTTACTGTACACCCTCATCTTTAAAATAGTTTTGTTTTGGGGCACCTGGGTGTCTCAGTCATTAAGCATCTGCCTTCGGCTCAGGTCATGATATCAGGGTCCTGGGATTGAGCCCCGCATCGGGCTCCCTGCTCAGCAGGAAGCCTGCTTCTCCCTCTCCCACTCCCCTGCTTGTGTTCCCTCTCTTGCTATGTCTCTCTCTGTCAAATAAATAAATAAAACCTTTTTTAAAAAAATAAATAAAATAGTTTTGTTTCTCACAGTCTATTTGGTGGTGTTATTTACTGCCTAATTTTTTTTAGGCTTCAGTAAATATTTTCTGAGAATGTGTCATTTCATAATAAATAACACTTGATTTACCTGAATTATGAAGTGAGAGGATTGGAAATTCAATCATAAATAGGTTTTTATAAGTACTACCCTTTGAACTTAAAAGTTGGGGGAATCCCATCATGTCACTGGCTATCCATCATGTCTGTGTTGCTGCCAGCAGGGATGCTGGTTTTTTATCCTGTGGGATATGCATGTCTGTAAATATGTGCCTTCTCAGAGAAAGCCCCTTATTATTGTTCTTATCATAATGTTACACTGAAGCTTTTCTCAGTATTGAGCATCCATATGAAATAGAAATGTTTCCTGTTATAACAGACAGGATAAAAATGGGGAGAGAGGATAATCTCTTTTTGGGCAGTGGTAATATATTTTATTTGAAAGGATGATCTTCTTTATGTGCTTTTAAACCACATTTGGCTTAGGGTTTAGTTCTATGCCAAAAGAGAATTCTGTTTCCTTCTGTATTTTGTGGATAGTGATCCAAACACCTGTAAGTACAAATCTAAAGTGCATATTTGAATTCAACTTCCTTTACCTTGATTTACCCATTCAGAAAGATGATTACAATGGATTTCTAACAAAGGAGAAGGAAATCCTGACCTCTGTAGTGAATCAAAAACTGTCTCCTAAAAAAATGTGAATACTTTTTTGTAGAGTCTGCCTTCTCGTGCAAGATGCCTATGGGATGTTCAGTGAAGTGCACTCTGAGAGCACCATCTTGAAGGACCAACAGTTGGAAGGAAAGTCCTGCAGCCTGATGGGAATGAAGGTTCTACAGAAGGCTACCAGAGGAAGGTAAGGACACTCTGTAATAGCAATTAGTTTGCTACAATGGCTGGTTCTTTTATTAGTGTTTTATCTTTTTTTTTTTTTAAGATTTACTTATTTATTTGAGAGAAAGAGAGCACAAGCCGGGGGTGGGGCAAAGAGAGAGAGAGAGAGAATCTCTAGCAGATTCCCTGCTGAGCATGGAGCCAGAGCTGGGGCTCGATCTCACAACCCTGAGATCATGACCTGAGCCAAAATCAAGAGTCAGATGCTTAACCAACTGAGCCACCCAAGCAAGCGCCCCTTATCTCTCATTTTTAAAGACAATAAACTAGGATCCTAGAGTTTGCCTGTAAAACTAGGCCAGAGCTGAGTCAAGCCCATAAAGTACTTCTAGGGGAAAAATTATAATTGGCAACAAAAACAATAATGCAGGTTTAGTGATTCCTAATTTTATTAAAAATTAAGAAGATAAAAAATGTTACGTATGTGTGTTTTAATTCTAAGATTTTTTTCTATATGTTTTCCTAGTTAAAAAATAAGATAGCTTTGCATGAGTCAGTTTATGTAAATGAAAATATAACTTACTATAAAGGCATTTTATAAGCTTTAAACAAAATTCTTAAGTTGTCACATCTTTTTGCTTTCCATAGTAAGAAAGTTTTGTTCTCTATCAAGTTTCATGGTACCCTACCTTAAAATGTGGTTTTGGATAGGCAAGGTAGAATGGTATGTAGATCTGGTCCAAACTATGGCTATTACATCTCCAATAATCATCCTAAATCTATAAATTAGGGAAAAGAAGAAACATTTTTAATCAAACTATTCAGTCATTTAGAGAATTAGTATAAACAGTGTATTTGCAATTTTCTCTATCTTATTGTAATCTCTCTTCACTTGAATAGTGTGTTATTTTAACTCTCTTGATGTTAATTTTTTACCTAATTATCGTAACATCTGAGTTTATACCAGTATCTGAGAGAGAAAAAAACCCATCATGAATATATGATGTTCTGATTTTGAAGCAGTTATTGATAGCATCTTCCAGTGGTTTGCATAATGAACATTCTAGCCATGGTCATTCTAAATTGTGAGCATTTATTGAGTGTTGTCCTGATTGACCTATGTTAGGCAGTCAGCACTCCCAGAGACCATAACTCCATGTCTCATCTGGCTTTCATATGGTACTGTGCAGGTGAGTGATGGCTCTGCCCAAGAGCTTGTTTTCCTGAAAAACATGTATTTCATGGAAAGAGTCCCTATAAACCCTGGGTAGATAGACAAAAGAACATTGATCCATGCAGATTTGTCTTATAACAAATGCTTCCTTTTGTTTATAAAAAGGTGGCTGTATTATAATGCAATTGCCTTATAGATTGGGGGTAGGGGGAGGTTTACCCAGATATTTAGAAAGCGTATCTACATGTGTGAAAAGCTTAAGTTTCACATGAAACTTATCTTTATTAAGGCTGAACCTCATTTTAGTCCTAAGTTTTAGAATAACAAGCATCTGCGGGCGCCTGGGTGGCTCAGTCATTAAGCATCTGCCTTTGGCTCAGGTCATGATCCCAGGGTCCTGGGATCGAGCCCTGCATCGGGCTCCCTGCTCAGCCGGGAGTCTGCTTCTCCCACTCCCCCTGTTCCCTCTCTCGCTGTATCTCTCTTTGTCAAATAAATAAATAAAATCTTTAAAAAAAATTAAAAAATTAAAAAAAAAAGAATTACAAGAATCTGAAAAGATTATAGTACAGTTTTAAATGGTATCACTAGCCCAGCATATTGACCTGACAGCATTAACTCTATCAGGGCCATGTGGGAGGTTATCTTCCTCAACATGAACTCTACACATAAGCCTCCCACCTGAGCACACCAGGATACAGGTGGGCTCCCCATGACGGGAAATCCTCCCTATGGGGCAGCAGAGTTGCTCCAGCTGCCAGCTTCCCTGGTGTAGGCCAGACAGAGGCTGCTCTGGGAGGCTTACTTCTTGCTGGAGACTGTAGCACATAACTTCTTGTGGCAGTTCTACCGGTAAATGACAGAGCCACTGCAATCCTGAGTCTTTGGCTCTGTAAAGTTCATGTTCTTTTACCATTATACTTTACGGTCATATGTGTTCCTAACACTTAACCTACTTTTTTGTGGGTTACAAGGGGAGCCCTACTACTATCTACAACATTCCCATAGGAAATGTTTTTTCCACAGGAAATACACTGAGTATTGCAAATAATTCATTTACAAACTTTGGAACCCGTACCATTTTTAGGTTTGTGACTAAATATTTGATTTTTTTTTTTAGGTTGGCATTAATTTCTTTACTTATATATTTTATTTTATTTTATTTTATTTATTTTTATTTTATTATTTTATTTTATTTTATTATTTTATTTTATTTTATTTTATTATTTTATTTTATTTTATTTTATCTTATTTTGGCACACAGCTATCCCAGTAAATGTTTAGATTGTCTTTTTGTTCTTTTGGAAACTATATTTCTTCAAAACAAATTATTAAATCATTTAGGAATGCTGGATGTTATAATTGCCTATTAGTGATATCATCCATTGTCAGTCATCCATCCATGGCCCAGTAAACACAAATTGTCTCTTTCATTTTCCCCCAAATTATTGTGTTTCATGGCAACTCCCATAAACTCTAACAAAATATACTTCTCATAAACCGTTATTTCCCAAAATTCAAGCTAAAATGATTAATTATAATTATATACTTCCAATATCTAATACAGAAATTGGAAGTATTTCCAAAAAAAAAGTTGGAAAATAGTTGTGTGTTTAGGCTAAGTCATGAAGTCTTTTAGATCTTGGCTACCAGATTTCATCTGATCCATGCTTCTAGTGATGGAAAATCACTACTCCCTACAAGGGCTATGAAGTGGACTGATGACCTCAAAGCTGTCGAGTCAGACAGACATGCTGTTGGACCAGTGTGTGGGGATTGCTGCTCTGTCCACCTGCCTCATTTGGGAAGGCTTGCATAAAAACAACAATCATATCTTTTGTATTTCTCTGATATATTTTTGGAGTTGCATGTCCATACTGACTGCTTAAAGCAAAGAAACTCAGAAAAATAGCCTAGATTTAAAGGAAAAAAAGTACAATTTTCAGAAAAACACTGCTGACGCATGCTCATTAAACAGAATGTGGAGCTCTGGTGTCTGTGCTTTCTTCCTCTCTAGAGCACTCCTTGCTATTTGTCCAGTGACTCTCCTCCTAAGGCACATCCCCTGACCTTTGTCTTCCCACGTGGCCTGTGCAGCAGTTTAGTGGGTCAAATGAGCGGAAAAGTCACATGACCTTGATGTCATAATTCTGTGTATGAACTTTATCTTTTTATTGTTGATTATTATACATTTTTATTTTTATATGATAGGGCTATACTGAGGGGGAAAAGAATTCCAAAAATATGTGTTAACCCTATAGAAATGGAAAATATAGCTAGCCAAATTTTTTGTGGGGGAGGGGAAATTCTTTCAGTTCAAAATCCTACTCGTATTTATGCCCTAACTTGTTAAAACCCACTGATTTCTGTGTCTAAAATCACTAATTTGTAGGTGCTATTTGACTTAGATCTGTTGACTGGCCCTTTAAGAGAAGATTTATTGAAGAGTATTTAGTCAGTACTCACCATGTACAGAAAGCTCTACCTGAGTACCCAGAATGACAAGGAAGCAGTTCTCATGTTCTTTGACCTTGAATTGCATCCCTTTGAACAGAAAACTAGATGGGCACAAATATTGGAGAATGGTTTAAGTGACTAGATCCTAACTGGCTATAATCTCAGATTTCATAAAAGAAGTTAGTGAGACCAAGTGCTTTAAACATCCTGACCTGTCAGAAAGAAAAGTTCTCTTCAGATTGGTAAAATGTTATCTGTGAAAACATACACGTAGGATCAGGAGAGATGTATGCGAAAGAGGAAATGAAAAGATAATTCACTCATTTATTCTATAAGGATTTAGTGCCTCTTTGTGCTATGCCCCTGGCTAAAGGCTGTGGCACTGAGCTGTGTGCTAGATTTTTGGGATTTATCCTAAACCAGAATATACTGGGGTATAAAGTCAACTAGACAAAGCCTTAGATCCTATTTTTAGGGATTCTGCATTAATCCAAGAGAAAATTAGGGCCTTTGTGAGACCGTGAGAGAAGAAAAGAAGAGGTAATAAAAATAAAAATGGAGTTAAGATTATCCTGATGTTGTACCTATAATGGATTTAAGATACAGGGAGAGATTGGGGCAGGGCTACAGATTTGGAAACTTCTGTAGCAATTGAGAGAAGGAGAACAAAGAACCAGTTAGAAACTAATCTTAATTTCTGATACCTGCAGGCAGCTCCACCAGGAGTGTAAAAATAGACCGTTCCCTCCAAGAGCTCATGGACCAGCAGGAGAGCCAGGGGTGACCCAAGCAGACACTGACTGGCAAGTGCCTAATACAGGGAGTTGTGGGCTGATAGCAGCCACCTTTGAGGGGCGTTCCAAGGGCAGGTCAAGATTTAGGAACCCTGAAGAGAACAGGAAAGGCCTGAGGCTAAGGACTAGAATGAGGAAGGGAGGGAAGAAAAACACTGTCTCCATTATCTCCTTTGGGAGCCAGACTGAAGATAAGGAGAGCACTGCTGTCTGGTCAGCTTTCATGATAGAGTGAGGGGTGGGCACTTTGTGTGCAGGGTGGTGCATTTCAGAGAGTGATCCAATTAATAGTTACTGTTTAAATGTTAACTTTTGTTTTCAAGGTAACAGATTAAGTACTGATAATTTTTATACTAGAAGCCAAGTTTAGTCAATATGCTCAAATACTAACCCCATAGTCAGGATTCAAAAGTCCTTTACAAGCCCCCATGCTAGTCCCCAGCCTGCTGCACTTGTGACCTTTAGTCCCACCCCTCAGGCATGTGCCATGCCCTAGACCTAGAACACTTTGCTTTTCTCCTGGGCCTTATTTAAGCCCCACCTTTCCCTCATAGGCCAGTCTTAAGATGCTCCTTCATTAAGACTCCTGGCACCTGT